TTAGCATTACACTACTAGTATATTATAAAGCTGCTTTTTTCAGTATATACACACACGTACACACTTTGATATCTATAAAACTTTAATGTATTATATATTTGTGTACATTACAAATATTCATAAAGTACACTAAAAAATTACAGCAGCACATATACTTTGGTGAAAAACAAAACGTGGGAGAGAGCGCTGTACATTCACCCCCCCCACCGACAATCCCTGCCAGTACGAGACTCGAACCCGCAACCTTTGGGTGTCCGACTCTCTAACCATTAGGCCACGACTTCCCCCGTAATTAGTTAATCTAACCAAGTCATACTGGTTTGGAGCGACGTGTGTGAATTAATGAGAGAAGAATGTTCATTTTTTTTCCTGTGAAAATGCGGTCAAATGCTTTAAGAAAATGAAAGCATAGTTAAAAAGAATAGTTTACCTAGAAGTTAAAATTTTACTCCCCATCAAGTCATCCAAGATGTAAATGAGTTTGTTTCTTCATCAGAACAGATTTGGAGAAATGTAGCATTACATCACTTGCTCACCAATGGATCCTTGGCAGTGAATGGGTGCCGTCAGAATGAGAGTCCAAACAGCTGATAAAAACATCACAATAATCCACAAGTAATCCACACGACTCCAGTCCACCAGTTAACATCTTGTGAAGCAAAAAGCTGCATGTTTATAATAAACAAATCCAAGTAGACGTTTTTAACTTCAATCCATAATATAGCTTTGTCTGATGAAGGAACAAACTGATCTACATTTTGGATGGCCTGAGGGTAAGTAAACTTTCATTTTTAGGTGAACTATTTCTTTCATTTGACAGTGGAGAAGAAAGTGTCTGGTTTCGTCATGTATAATGGCTCGGCTGGGGTTATTTGCAGATTGGTCGATAATGATACTTGATGGAAACTGAAAAATAATTACACAGAATTTAGTCATTCTGCTGGTCACCGTGCTATTTTATAACCTACATTTAGGATGATGGATTTTCAGAGGGTGTTTTGCTTTTTTTTAAAGTGCCAAAGGAAGCATTTGAAGTTGTTTCAGGCTGTTGGAGTCTGTTCCTGAAGTGCTGAAGTGTGTTCCGTTACATTTCTCGCCATGCCAAAACTGATACTTCTCCATCCTGCGGTCTAGAGTCTGACAGCATCTCTACGAATGAGATGATTAAAGATTTGAACACTTCAGCAAGCAAATCACCTGCTACCCAGGCAATCAGGGTTCCTCCGTGTTCTTCACTCCT